AAGAATGCTCAAACTACCATACAAGTGTGCTCTTTTCACATGCTAGCCCAATCATGCTCAAAATCCTTCAAGCTAGGTTTCAACAGTCCATGAACCAAGGACTTCCAGAGGTATAAGCTGAGTTTGGCTATCTGATGCAAAGAACTGACTCATTGGAAAAGACCCCGATGCTGGGAAATATTGAAGGCAGGAGGAGAAGGGGACAACAGAGGATGAGATGGTTGGATGGCATTACCAACTCAATGGACATGAGCTTGAGTAAACTTCGGGAGTTGGTGATGGACAGGGAGGCCTGGCGTGCTGCAGTCCATGGGGTTGCAAAGAGTCAGACATGACTGAGCAGCTGAACTGAACTGACTCAAGATGAGTTTTAGAAAAGGCAGAGAAATCAGAGAACAAATTGCCAACATCTGTTGGACCATAGAAAAAGCAAGGGAATTCCAAAAATATCTACTTCTGCTTTATTGACTATGCTGAAGTCTTTGTGTGGATCATAACAACAGTGGAAAATTCTTAAAGAGATGGGAATACTAGACCACCTTTCCTGTCTCCTGAGAAACCTGTATGCAGGTCAAGAAGCATCAGTTGGAAACTTATGTTGAACAAATGACTGGTTCAAAATTGGGAAAGGAGTATGTCAAGGCTGTGTATTGTCACCTTGCTTATTTAACTAACATGCAAAGTACCTCATGTTGAAAGCCAGGCTGGATGAAGCACAAGCTGGAATCAAGATTACCAGGAGAAATATCAACAACCTCAGATATGCATATGATACCTCTTTAATGATAAAAAGCAAAGAGGAACTAAAGAGCCTCTTGATGAGGGTGAATGAGGAGAGTGAAAAAGCTGGCTTAAAACTCAGCACTAAAAAAAACTAATATCATGGCATCCAGGACCACTACTCCATGGCAAATAGATAAGGAAAAAGTGGAAACAGTGACAGACTTTATTTTCTTGGGCTCCAAAATCACTCTGGATGGTGACTGCAGCCATGAAATTAGAAGACACTTGTCCTTGGAAGAAAAGCTATGACGAAGCTAGACAGCGTATTAAAAAGCAGAGACATCACTCTGCCAACAAAGGTCCATATAGTCAAAGCTATGGTTTTTCCAGTAGTCATGTACAGATGTGAGCGTTGGTCCATAAATAAGGCAGAGTGCCAAAGAATTGATGCTTTGGAATTGTCCTGCTAGAGAAGACTCTTGAGAGTCCCTTGGACAGCAAGGAGGTCAAACCAGTCCATCCTAAAGGAAATCAATCCTGAATAGTCTTTGGAAGGACTGATGCTGAAGCTGAACCTCTGATACTTTGACCACCTGACGCAAAGAGCCAACTCATTGGGAAAAGACCCTGATGTTGGGAAAGATTGAAGGCAGGAGGAGAAGGGGGTGACAGAGGATGAGATGGTTGGATGGCCTCATCGATCCAATGAACATGAGTCTGAGCAAACTCTGGAGATAGAGAAGGACAGGGAAGCCTGGCGTGCTGCAGTGCATCGGGTTGCAAAGAGTTGGACACGACTGACTGACTGATCAATGACAACAACAACTTTACTCCTTTGTCTGTGTAGGGTTTTAGCTGTGGCGTGTGGAATCCTCCTTGTGTTTTGCGGGATCTTTCGTTGCCGTGCACAGACTCTCCAGTTTTGGCTCTCGGGTTCCAGAGTGTGGGGGCTAAGTATCTGTGATGCATGGGCTTAGTTGCTCTGTGGCATGTGGGATCCTCTTGAATCAAGGATTGAACTTGTATCTGCTGCATTGCAAGGAGGATTCTTAACCACCAGATCACCAGGGAGGTCCCCAGACAGTTACCTGGGCCTCCCTCGTCCCGGGCGAAATGAGTCATAAAATTAACCATCACACTGCTGTACTTCAGACTTTCCTCATCCTCCAGCCACCCAAATGATGGGGGTAAGGGAGTTGTTCTTCCAGTTACTGAGATCAGGAAAGGGCTACAAACCCCAGAAGGAGACCGCCAGAGGGGAAGGAGGGAGCAGGACAATCCCGCTTTGCCATTTCTCCACATAGGATCAGGAAAAGCCTGGGATCCAACTCAGGGTCCTTGATTCCTCTCAGCGGACGTCTGGGGGGCAGATCCCACGTGCTAGGTGAGTGTGCTACTTGATGTGGCCACTCTAACTACCTTGCACCTTTGCGCTAATTAGCTATTACCCTGCGTCAGGCACCACGTTAATTTTCATTATCACCCGTCTTCACGACTCCTCCAGGCACAAAAGAGAAAAAGGCACAGCAGAAAGACGAGGACCTCGTGCGGGGTCACAGAGTGAGGGAGTGCCATCACAGGGCCTGCGCCGGAGCCCCGCTCCCTCCCCTGCAGCGGGGAGGCCATGCGGTTCCTGGGCCAGCGGGTCCCCCTTATTGTGAGTTACACGTGCACACAGGACACAGAGATGTGTGTATGTGCACACTACTTCCCATGACAGGCATGGCTCTTTCTGAAAGACGAAGCACAAGGGATGTTCTGTGAATTGAATTACATTATTTACCTGGGGAGTTGACTTCAAAAAAAAATTTAGTAGGCGATAATAGGATGAGGCTGTTGGCAAATGTGACCCTGTGTTAGGTGTGAAGCTGTAGGTTTTCACAGTTGAGATTTACTTAAAGCAGGAGTTGCACGGCCCCACCTTTTCCCCGCCCCTCCCACCCACCCTGTTTGCTGCTGTCGAGTGTCCATTGCGGAGGCTGGGTGTCCTGTCGTTTGCAGTGGCCTCAAGTGGGCAAGCGGAGAAGGCAATGGAAACCCACTCCAGTACTCTTGCCTGGAGAATCCCATGGACGGAGGAGCCTGGTAGGCTGCAGTTCATGGGGTCACAAAGAGTTGGACATGACTGAGCGACTTCATTTTCACTCTTCACTCTCATGCATTGGAGAAGGAAATGGCAACCCACTCCAGTGTTCTTGCCTGGAGAATCCCAGGGACGGCGGAGCCTGGTGGGCCGCCGTCTATGGGGCCATACAGAGTCGGACTGGACTGAAGTGTCTTAGCAGCAGCAGCAGCGGCAAGTGGGCAAGGCCCTCAGCTGGCTCTTGGCCTAGGCTGGGGAGTCAGAGGTGTCAACAGCCCTCAGGACTGGGGTCAAGGTGGTGCATGGAGGACAGGTTTTTGCTTTCTCCCTACTGCTCAACAAGCCCCCCGACTCAGGGCCATGGAGGAACTGGTCCTTTCTGCCCCGTCTGATTGTTTCTGAGTCTGCAAGGTGAGCTAACATACTAAAGCTAGACAAGGGAGTGTTTCCAGGTCTAAAAGTGTGTACTTGGGTTTGTTCCCTCGGATGGGTAGGGGGAGCAAGCCACCAGCCCAGTGTGGGTTTCAGTCAACCCGGGGGAGCTAAGCGGTCACCCTGCCCGCATTCCCGGGGAGCAGCTCTGGGGACAGCGGCCCAGCCATGCTCTGGCCTTTGCTCTCTCCCGTGGTCCAGCCTGCACCTCCCAGAACGTCCCCACTGGGACTATCCAGGAGGGCTTTGCTGCCAGCTCCCAGGAGGACCAAGTTCGAGGGCGAGGACTGGGGCCAGAAAGCTCCCTCCGAGAGGTAACAGGTGGTGGAAAAGAAAGGTAAGATTTTAGGAGGGAGGGCTTCCTGGGTGGGCCAGTGGTTAAGAATCCACCTGCCAATGCAAGGGCTGCAGGTTCGATCCCTGGTCCGGGAAGATTTCACATGCCCTGGGGCAACCAAGCCCGTGGGCCACCACCACTGAGCCTGCACGCCTAGCAGCTGTGCTCCGAACAAAGGAACCTCCTGCAGAGAGAAGCCTGGCACCACACCTAGGGACTAGTCTCCACTCTCCACGACAGGAGGAAGCCCACACGGCCGTAAACAAGTAACACATACAATTTAAAAATTATGTAAGGAGGGACATTCGTGTTCTTCAGCATCTACTCTATACCAGGAGCTGTATAAGGTCCTTCCCCAATACCTGTGCCGATTGGTCTTCACAACAGCCTGATAAACTGGATACTGTTTATTATCACACCCAGGCCCAGCGGCTCAGGCATGCAAACGGTGTTGGCACGCAGGGCCTGGGCTCAGAAGGGGCCCTGCACTCAGTTTAACACTCTGCTGTCAACACCTGGAAATCCATCATCATTTTTTAGCAGGGCGTTGTGTGTTTCCATGTGTGTTTCCTACACTGAGCCCTGCAAGTTTGGTACCAGTCCTGGCCATCCTGTTTACAGACAAGGAACCCAAGGGCCGTCCCTAATCTGCCCAAGGTCACAGCTGGGAAGCGGTGGGCTTAGTACTTGGATCCAGGGATGTCTGACTCTCAAGAGCATCCTCTCCAACCCGCCGTGGGGTTGCATCCAGCAGGGTCTGTGGTACATCAGCCTTGTCCCTGGATGAGCAGCAGCAGTGTTGCTCGAGGGCTTGTTAGATCCTCTGGGGGAAGGACCTGTGTTCTAACAAGCCCTCCGGATGACGCTGATGTAACTCAAGCTTGAGATGCTCTGAGCTCAAAGATGGTGGCTAACAGTGAAAAGAGGGGCACAGTGAAGGAAGGATATGGACTGTATAGATGGAGAGGGTGTGCGTGTGTGGTTTGTGGGGGCTGCTCTGCTGTGAACAGGCTGGTCAAGGCCAGCTCTGTGAGAGGCGATGCTTGAACCCAAGGCTGGAGGAGATGGGGGAGTGCTATGTGGACCCGTAGGGCAGGCAGGAGCCAGGAAGAGGCAAGGACCAGCCTGAGGCCTGAGGGTGGGAAGGTGCCCGGTGAGCCTGAGGCACAGGACGGAGGCCCTGGTGCCCCGACACGCGTGGCGACGGTGAAGTCTCATCCTCTGTGTCACCAAGCCTTGGACCCCAAGCCCATTTTCTCGTTTATTCCATCCATGAGAGTGTCGCCTGGGGAGACAGTTTCTGCACAGTCACCCAGAAGAACAGATGAGGGGCCGTTTCTCCCAACAGGCAATCTTGCTCTTCGAGGCAGAGGCATGAGGGCCCACCTAGAGGTGGGATTCGTGGATGAATCAATCGAGACTCATTTAGAAACGAGGCTCCTTGGCCAAGGTCTTCCACGTGGCTTTCTCGCTTCCTGGTTGGGTGCGCGGGGGAGCTGCTGAGAAGAGACCAGGAGAGGTTTTCAGCGGTTCTCAAGACGGCATGGGGCTCCAACAAGTAACTTAGGAAGTTCCAGCTCTGACTCTGCGGCTTGGGCAGCAGGTCTGCAGGCTTAAGGGTTTTCTTAAAATCTCAGGGCCGAACTTGTGACCCAGAGTGAAATTCCAGAAGGAAAGGACTGACAGAATCGGCCAGCACTGGCTGAACCTCTTCCTTGGGAGTGACTCTGCCTCTGGTGTCCACAGCTCCTTTGTCCCTTTTCCTTGGTCATCTCTGCCAGTGTCGGCCCTCATGCAGAACCTGCATCCCCCGTCCGTGCATGCTGATGAGACTTCAAGGCAATGGTGGCAGGAGTGGAGAAGCGAAGGGGTGTTAAGAGCAAATGACGGAGGACTTCCCTGGTGGTCCAGGGACTAAGAGTCTGCCTTCCAATGCAGGGGACACGGGGTCGATCCCTGGCCAGGGAACCAAGATCCCACATGCCGCAGTGTGACTAAGCCCGAGTGCTGCAATACTGAGCCCAAGTACCACAATGAGAGAAAAGCCCACACATTGCAATGAAAAGTTCCCGCGCGCTGCAGCAGAGATCCTCTGTGTCACAACTTAGACCCGATGCAGCCCGATACATAAACATAAAAAAATTCGTGAGAGATGTTCAGACTTGGTTAAGGGTTGGTTCTGGGAGGGGGCATGATGGGGAAGGGAAATGGGAAACAAACTTCCAAGTTGGAGACCTGGATAATATCAGCTGACATTTAATTGGGGGCTGATTCTATAATAGAAAGCGTATCAAATGCACTCTGTGCATTGTCCCATTTAAATCCTCATTACACCCATTTTATAGATGTGAAAACTGAGCCTCAGCTAGGGAAAGCACTTGCCTCAGGTCATGGAGTGAGTAAGTGGTGGGTTTGAGAGCGAGCCTGACTGAATCCATGATGCCAGTGGTCCTCAAACCTTAGCATATATTAGAATCACCTGGAACGCCTGTTCCGCTGGAGATGACTGGGCCCAGAACTAGAGTTCCTGGTTCAGCGTTCTGCATTTCTATCAAGTTCCCAAGTGATGCTGAGGCAGTTGGTGCAGGGACCCAATAATAGCAGCCCAATAACGAGGCCGTGCTCTGGGATCCGGATCAGCATTGCATCCTGACGTCAGCTGGCTCCCTCTGAAAGTCTGGCTGAGCTGGTCATCAGCGGTATCCAAACTTCAGCTTTTTTTAAAAAAGCCCCGAGTGTTTCTAATGTACGCTAAGGATGAGAACCTCTGCTCTAAACCCTGTCGATAGGGAATGCAGGAGGAATAGCAGGTTTCTGGAGGAAAGAATGGTCCCTTTTCACTAATATACAGAAACATAATGACTTGTGCTTTCAAGCTCAAAATCCCCAGCATTAGGAGCCAATCTGCTTAGGCCCAGCTAGATGCTAATTGAGTTTCCTCTGCGGGCTGGGCGCTCGCTCGCTCTGTACAGCCTTTCTAACGACCTGAGTGTGGGCTGATTGGGGCCACTCGGTTGGTGGGAAATGACAAGATGGAAATCCATTGAGGAATTGATGACAGGTATCCTTGCAACTGGGCATTTTTCTTATGAGTAACAATCTCTGGTGATTTCATTCAAGTTTGCAGCAGCATGTTTTATGACCAATGCCCTGGCATAATTATGCAATGGAAATGTATTTGAAATTGCTTAAGTGGTTATATATAGGTAGGATTTGCTCAGGAATTTGAGGTACTTTTAAGAAGTCCATATTCAGTTGGATTACCTTCGAAATGTGCTTTGGAAATTGGCGTTTACCGCTCCCAATTCAGTGTTGGGGAAGAAGAGGGTGCTTTTTAACCTAAAAGCCATAGTGCTTTTTAGAGGACTGGCATTAATGGTTTTCAGGGATGATTAACTTGTATCTGGTGATTAATTTTTAGGAAATAACAGGAAGGCCTGTCACTACTGCCTGAAAGTACAAAAACAGTAAACAGTTGAACAAATAGAACAAGGCAAGTTGAAGGTCTCAATTCACTGGCTCTCACCAAGATTTAAAAAAGTGATGATGTTGACTGGATGCAGGAAAAAGAAGAGAAACTGGAAACAGGGGGTGGTGGAGCCTCAGGTTTGGAGCTGCAGAAGGCATCTAGCCCAGGACTCAAGTTCGGTGCCTTCAGAAGTCTAGATAACTGAGGGACCAATGAACACCCGACCTAGAGAGGCATCTGACTGCCGCATCCATGAAAGAGGCCCAAAGCTGCCAAACCACTCAAGTTTTCAAGATAAGGCAGAGATCAAGGCTTTAATATAAACTTTCTCAATTTTCAAAGACTTGCTTAAATACAATAAATACTGTGTCGGCCAAATAGGTCTGTGGGCTGTATTCAGACCACATCAAGGATCTTGTCCAACCCCATTATTTCACGAAGGAGGAAACGTGGCCTAGAGCATTTACTTGGTTATCGATTTAAATAAAGACAGTCAACCCAGAGTTCCTTTGCCTTCAAGACACTCACAGTCTGGGGAGAAAAAGACAGGAAACAGGGGCGGGCTCTGCTGAGTGGTCTGGGAGGCTGTGAGGATGGAAACGGGGTAGTCTTATCCTATCTGGGGTCAGAAAGGACTTCCCTCTGGAGAGGAACTCTCAGCTGAGTCTTGACGGAAGAATAAGGGTCAGTCACTCGGAACGGTGGTGTTGAGTGGGAGAGAGGTCAGCTTCAGCCAAGACCTAGGGACGTGTCTGGTTGGATAGATGCAAGAGGCTGTGAGACTGAACCCAGGTAAGGACCTGAGTGGGCAACTAGCAGATTTTGATGCGGCTGAAAGTCTAGCCCACACCCCAAGATACGCCTTCACTGTGGCGCAAGAGGAAGATGAGTCAAGTGTCCAAGAATCTGAGAGTGGCGTTTAGCCAAGCCGGGAGAGGATGGTGGAAATGTCAGGTGATGAAGTGTAGTTTTAGCTTTTACTTTTCTCCTACTTGCTCTGAAATGAGCATTCCGAGCGCTGCCATCATAACCCCTGAAAGGCGGCCTGATTCTTCCGTGGAGATGGCTCATTCTGCTTTTTATAGCTCCTGGCGCTTTGAGTGGATGGATCTTCACATTTCAATAATCAACATGATTTCCCTTCGGTAACCTTAGCATCCATTGCAAGAGATGCTTTCTTTTTCAGCCCTGATGCCTTAGAATTTGAAGGAAGGGAAGATGAGGGAATTCAGATTGTTGCTCTGTGCTACCACGTGTTGGGGGCAGGGTTGGGGGGAGTTTCTTTTTCTGCTCATACTGTTACTCTAAGAGGGACCAGTCGATTTGGACAGGAACAAGGTTGTGCCAGTTCCCCCTTAGATCATCTGTCTCTGTGGCATCTCTAAGTTTTTGAGGCCCCACTGTTTCCAGTGTTTTGCCAGTACTGTGATAGACTTCTGGGATTCAGGCTCCAACCCTGCCCTCATAAAGTTTACAATCTTGTGGAGAGCCATGTGTGATCAAAGTCATAACAGGGTAAAAATAGGGGCCTCAAAATGCACATTCAGGGAGCAGAGAGTTTGATTACCTTTATTCTTGGTGAAACTGGTTCCACCAGCGAACATGTTGACTTGCCGTATATTTTTCTTTTAAACTATAATATAGAAGTCATCATTTCAACCACTTTCAAGTGTACAATTCAGTGATTTTTTTTTTAGCATCAATATTTTTCGGCCACCACCACCAGCCAATGATAGAACACAATCAGAATCTGTCAAAGAAACCCCACACTCATTAAACCATCATTCCCATTTCATCTTCTCCCAACTCCTGAACCTCACTAATCTGCTTTCTGTCTCTATAGACATTGCATCTAAATGTGTGGATTTGGGGGTCTGCCTTCTTTCACTCAGCAGCTTCCAAGTTTCATCCATGTCATAGCATGAATCAGTATTTCATTGCTTTTTATGGCTGAGTAATATTCCACTGTATACATATATCACATTTGATTATCCATTCATCAGTGATGGGCCTATAGCTTGTTACCATCTTTCAGCTATTGTGAATAACACCGCTATGAATATTTGCATACAAATTTTTGTTTGGACATCTGTTTTCAGTTCTTAGGGAGAGTAATTTCTGGGACATGTGTAAATTCTATGTTTAACTTTGTGAGGAAAAGTCAAATTATTTTCCACAGTGGTTGCAACACTTTACATTCCCACCAGCAAATCATGAGGGTTGCAATTTCTTCACATCTTCACCAATGCTTAATATTGTTTGCTTTTTTGATGATATATAGTCATTCTAGTGGGGGTGAAGTGGTATCTCAACTATAGTTTTGATTTCCCTCCTGACTATTGATGTTGAGCATCTTTTCATGGACTTATCGGCCATTTGTGTATGTTCTTTGGAGAAATATCTCTTCAAAGCCTTTGTTATTTAAAAATTGGATTGTCTTTTTGTTGTTGAGTTGTAACAGTTACTGATATTTTCTGGATACTAGACTTTTATCAGATGTACGCTTTACAAGTATTTTCTCCCATTTTTTTACATTTAATTTTTGAATTTTTTAAATTAAAAATTTTGGAGGGCTGTACAGCATGAGAGATCTTCATTCCCTGACCAAAGATGAAATCTGCGCCCCTGCAGTGGAAGCAGAGTCTTAACCACTGGGACTGCAGGGAAGTCCAGATTTTTTTCTCTGGAACACACAGAAGTACATTGTCTTTTTATTGGATTGGCTAAAAAGAAAATTTTTTCTCAGGTTTTTCTGTAAGTTGTTATGGAAAAGCCCAAATGAATTTTTTGGCCAACCCAATACTTTCTTGATAGTGTCCTCTGATACATGAGTTTACATTTTTTATTGAAGTATAACTGACTTACAGGATTGTATTATTTTCAGGTATACAACAGTGATTCAGTATTTTTATACATTATAAAACGATCACCGAAAGTCTAATTACCATCTGTCATCATATATAGTTACTGCAATATTATTGACTATGTTCCCTGTGTTGCTCATTGCATTGCTGTGACATTTATTTCATA